AAATGGGGATGGGAAATGGGGATGGGAAATGGGGATGGGAAATGGGGATGGGAAATGGGGATGGGAATGGGAAAGGGGATGGGAACGGGAACAGGAACGGGGATGGGAACAGGAATGGGGATGGGGATGGGAACAGGAATGGGGATGGGAAGTTCCTGACCTGTTGGAGATGGGAATGCTCCGGTCCCTCATGGCACGGAGCACCGTGGCCATGCAGTGAAGAGCCTCGGTCGCCTCCAGCGGCGCCAGCTCCGAGCGGCAGCTCCGGAAATATTCCAGGAGGCTCCGGATGTCGCCGATGCCGTCGGAAAACAACACCATGACAGCGAAGATCGCCCACATCCTCTCGGGCTGGGGTGGGAAAAGAGCCAAAAAAACCCTTGGAGATTCCAGGAGGGTGGAAAATTCTGCTTGGAGGTGGAAAAATTCCCGTGAGGAGCCACTGAATCCTAAATCAGCCCAAATTATCCCAAAGTTTGAGGAGTTTGGGAATCAGGAGTCACCTCAAAGGAGGAGGAGGGAGGAACACATCCCGTATTTGAATCCCTTCCGGCTTTATCCAGCCAAATCCATGGGAATGGCACCAAGGAAAAGCTGGGTATTCCCAAAAAAAACATGGGCTGGCGGTTCCCAGGGAATGGTGCTGTTCTCAAACGGGGTTTTGTGGGATTTAGGGATCATTCCTGCAGGGAAAACAACTTCCAGGTGATTCCAGACTAAACCAAATCCATGAAAACCCAGCTCCAGGGTTTTTATGGAATCTTCCAGATTGGCTTTTATGGAATCTTCCAGATTTTTAGGAAAAAAAGGCTGCAGGAAAAACAGGACAAGAGAAATTTCATGGAATCTTCTAGATTTTTAGGAAAAAAAAGCTGCAGGGAACACAGCAAAAGGGAAATTTCATAGAATCTTCCAGATTTTTAGGAAAAAAGGCTGCAGGAAAAACAGGAGAAGGGAAATTTCATGGAATTTTCCAGATTTTTAGGAAAAAAGGCTGAAAGGAAAAACAGTAGAGCAGAGATTTTATGGAATCTTCCAGATTTTTACTAAAAAAGGCCACAGAAAAAAACAGGAAAAGAGAAATTTCATGGAATCTTCCAGATTTTTAGGAAAAAAGGCCAAAGGGAAAAAACAGAAGAGTGGAGATTTCATGGAATCTTCCAGATCTTTAGGAAAAAAGACCAAAGGGAACACAGCAAAAGGGAAATTTCATGGAATCTTCCAAATTTTTAGGAAAAAATGCCAAAGGGAAAAACAGGAGAAGGGAAATTCCATGGAATCTGCGAGATCTTTAGGAAAAATGGCCGAAGGGAAAACAGCAGAGCTGAGATTTTATGGAATCTTCCAGATTTTTCTGGTTTTTCCCCACGGATGGGCAGCAACGTTGCTCCAACACGGATTTTGGATACAGAACAACTTTGGATCCGGAAGACGCCGCAGGAATTTTAAAAAAATCCCCCAAAATTGCGTGAAACTCACCCCAGGCTTGCTGAGTAAATCTGGGAATTTGTTGTGGACGCAGATTTGAGCCTTTGGGAAGAGGGGATGACTTCCCAAAACCCGGAGAAGAGCGTTGGGATCCACCTTGGCTCCCTTGGATGCCACCAACCTGCGCAGGAGGGATAACGAGGGATTTACTCTCCAAGGAAATTTTGGCTCATCCAAAGCACCCCCAGAGTGGCTGGAGGAGTTTCATTAATCCCTGCCGTGTTTTTCATGGAATTTCGAGCAGTTGGAATATGGATTTCCAGCTCGTTCCTACGTCAGGAAAAGAATTCCCGGTTTTTGGAATAAATTTCTGCAGGCTGGAATTTCTGTCTCAAAGTTTCCTTTAGGGCTGGAGAATTCCTGAGGGAGCTGGAGAATTCCTGAGGGAGATGGGAAGGGGCTGGAGAATTCCTGGAGGAGATGGGAAGGGGCTGGAGAATTCCTGAGGGAGTTGGAAGGGGCTGGATAATTCCTGAGGGAGATGGGAAGGGGCTGGAAAATTCCTGAGGGAGCTGGGAAGGGGCTGGAGAATTCCTGAGGGAGCTGGAGAATTCCTGAGGGAGATGGGAAGGGGCTGGAGAATTCCTGAGGGAGATGGGAAGGGGCTGGAGAATTCCTGAGGGAGATGGGAAGGGGCTGGAGAATTCCTGAGGGAGATGGGAAGGAGCTGGAGAATTCCTGAGGGAGATGGGAAGGGGCTGGAGAATTCCTGAGGGAGCTGGGAAGGGGCTGGAGAATTCCTGAGGGAAATGGGAAGGAGCTGGAAAATTCCTGAGGGAGCTGGAGAATTCCTGAGGGAGATGGGAAGGGGCTGGATAATTTCTGAGGGAGCTGGGAAGGGGCTGGAGAATTCCTGAGGGAGTTGGAAGGGGCTGGAAAATTCCTGAGGGAGATGGAAGGGGCTGGAGAATTCCTGGAGGGGCAGGAGAATTCCTGAGGAAGTTGGGAAGGAGCTGGAGAATTCCTGAGGAATTCCTAAGGAAAAGGAAAATTTTGCTCCTCTTTTCAGCGTTTTTTCCTATCAAAATCCCTTCTCCTCCTCCATTTTTCCCGCACATTTCCCGCCTGTTTAGGGAATTCCCGGGGAAAAAAATTCCCAAAGGGTGCAAAAAAAAGAGGATTTGGGCTCACCTGACCAGCCCCAGGACACATTCCTGGTTTTCCTTGGTGATGGAAAATTCCTGCAGGATTTGCTCCACCGCCTGCAGGGCCGAGCGCTCCCCCTTCAGGTAGCGGTGGTAGAGCTTTTTCCATGGAATAAACTGGAATGGGAAGCAGGAAAACAGCGGGATTCACCGCTGGGAATTCCAGGATTGGATCCCCAAAGAAATAGGGTTTGGAAAGGGAGCTTGGGAGGGGGAAGGGAGATGGGGAAAGGGGGGAAAATGGGGGGAAATGAGGGGAAAAAGGGGAAAAAGGGTGGAAAAATGTGAGAAAAAACAGGGGGAAAGAGGGAAAAAGGGGGGAAAAAGGGGGAAAAATGTGGGAAAAAACTGGGGGAAAGAGGGAAAAAGGGGGGGAAAAGGGGGAAAATGGGGGAAATGGGGAAAAAAAGGGGAAAAGGGGGGAAAAAGGGAGAAAAAAGGGGTTAAAGGGGGAAAAATGAGGGAAAATGGGGAAAAAATGGGGGGAAAAAGGGAAAAGGGGGGAAAGGGAGAAAAGGGCGTAAAGGGGGAAAAATGGGGAGGGAAAGAAGGGAAAAGGGGGGGAATTGGGGGGAAATGTGGGAAAAAACTGGGGGAAAGGGGGAAAAATGAGGGGAAATGGGGAAAAGAATGGGAAAAGGGGAGGGGAAAGGGGGAAAAGAGGGGGGAAAGAGGGAAAAATGGGGGAAAAAGGGAAAAAGTGGGAAAAGGGTGGGAAAAAGGGAGGGAAAAGGGGGAAAAAGGGGGAAAATGGGGAAAAGGGTGAAAATGGGGGAAAAAAGGGAAAATTGAGGGAAAATTGAGGGAAAAAACAGGGGAAAAGAGGGAAAAATGGGGGAAGGGGGGAAAAAAGGGGAGAAAATAGGGGAAAACGGGGGAAAAAGGGGGAAAAGGGGGGAGAAAAAAGGGGGGAAAAGAGGCAGATTTCATGGAACCTTCCAGATTTTTAGGAAAAAAGGCCAAAGGGAAAACAGGAGAAGGGAGATTTTATGGAATCTTCCAGATTTCTAGGAAGAAAAGGCTGCAGGAAAAACAGCAGAAGGGAAATTTAATGGAATCTTCAGGGAAAAAGGCTGAAGGGAAAACAGCAGAGCGGAGATTTTATGGAATCTTCCAGATTTTTTCCCACAGATGAGATGGAATCTTGCTCCAATACCCAATTTTGGATATGGGGTAACAACTTTTAGTCCAAAAATTCCAAAAAAAAAAAATGCCAGGAAACCTAAAAAATCATGGATTGTGGGAAGAAGGATGGGATTTAAAGGATCAGAGAGAGGCAGATCCCATGGGATTATTCCAGAACGTTCCTCACCAGTGGATCCCGGATAATTTCCCGCCAGGAATGACAGACCAGGCTCAGGTTTTGGTACAGATCCAGCACCGGCAGGAGAGCAAAAATATTCCTGAGGATTTCAGCAGGAAGAGAATCCATGGATCCCTGAGGGAATTCCCAGTTCCGAGTGCCCAGGAGGCCGTAGTGGGAATCAGGAAGAGGCTCCACTTCCAGCTCTTCCCATTCCTGCTGGAGCAGTTCGGGAATTTTCTCCTGGGGTTCATCCCAAAGATCCAGCTCTGGGGTGGGAATTCCTGAGGGAAGAGGTCTTTTCCTGGAATGTGCAGTTGGAGGTGGCACGGAGAGCTGGGAATGCTGGAAAAGGCAGGAATCTGGAGGAGAAGGGGAACAGGGATCCGATGGATCCTCCTCGATCCCGTGGCTCCGGATCCCACAGAAATCCAGGATGCTCCTCTGCCGGCCGGGGGCTGCACGGGGGGAAAGCGGGAATGAATTCCATGGGAATCAGGGGAGGAATTCCATGGGAATCAGGGGAGGAATTCCATGGGAATCAGGGGATGGATTCCATGGGAATCAGGGGATGGATTCCATGGGAATCAGGGGAGGAATTCCATGGAAATGAGGGGAGGAATTCCATGGGAATCAGGGGATGGATTCATGGGAATCAGGGGAGGGATTCCATGGGAATCAGGGGAGGGATTCCATGGGAATCGGGGAAAGAATTTAATGGAAATCAGGAATTAATTCCATGGAAATCAGGGGAGGAATTCCAAGGAAATCAAGGGGGGAATTCCATGGAAATCAGGGAATGAATTCCAAGGAAATCAAGGGGGGAATTCCATGGAAATCAGGGGAGGAATTCCAAGGAAAAGCAGGAAGGAATTCCATGAAAATCAGGAATTAACTCCATGGAAATCAGGGAATGAATTCCATGGAAATCAGGGAAGGAATTCCAAGGAAATCAGGGAGGAATTCCATGGAAATCAGGGGAGGAATTCCAAGGAAAAGCAGGAAGGAATTCCATGAAAATCAGGAATTAACTCCATGGAAATCAGGGAATGAATTCCATGGAAATCAGGGAAGGAATTCCATGGAAATCAGGGAAGGAATTCCATGGAAATCAGGGGATGGATTCCATGGAAATCAAGGGAAGAATTCCATGGAAAAGCAGGAATGAATTCCATGAAAATCGGGAATTAACTCCATGGAAATCAGGGAAGGAATTCCAAGGAAATTGGGGGAGGAATTCTACGGAAAAGTGGGAATGAATTCCATGGAAATCAGGAGACGAATTCTATAGAAATAAAGTAAAAATAAAATAAAATAAAATAAAATAAAATAAAATAAAATAAAATAAAATAAAATAAAATAAAACAAAATAAAAAAGAAAATAAAATATAATATAAGAAAATAGAATAAGATAAAACAGAAATAAAATAAAATAATAAAAAAAATGAAAATTAAAAATTCCATGAAAATCTGAAGGAAATAAAAGAATATAAAAATAAAAATATGAAACCCATGAAAATAAATAAGGTCAAACAACATAAAAATAAT